TGCACGGGTTGCATCAGGCCACAGACGGCACATGAGACTTTCTACCACTCCCAGAAAGCGTTTGCCTCCATCTTCTGCCACTCTTTCTGTCTGACATCCATGTGAATGCGTCAGGTCCGTGTTGGATGTCATAATGTGACGGACGCAAATAAAATAAGGAGAGTGGGATGTTTGAGTGTGCAGGGCAGACGGGGTCCACTGGAAAAAGAAAGGTAGAGTGTGTCCTGAAAAACAAGGTGACTAATGTTGAATAGACACCCCGAGGATGTTTGTGTCCTTTTGCTGGGGTTGAAAACAAGGTTGCACCTTTTCGTAAGGAAGCCACAAATTCTCGTCGGCTAATCATTCACTTGTCAGGGCAATCATGTCAGACGGATGCAGCCGGAGGAGTGTTTTTTCGGGGGTGATGATTCCTGTTACATTATTTAACCTCTAGAGATTCAAAACAGGGAGAACAGATGAGGATATGGAGACATTAAAATTACAAATGAGTAATATTTATTGCATGCAAAAAAAACAGTCACAAATCTAAGTCTCACATAAAGGACTTTCAGTGAGGTCGGTACAAAGCAAGAACTGTTTTTCTTTTCGGATGGGGGATTGGCAGAGGCTTTTAGTGGTTTTATTCAACACAACATTTAAAAAGACAGATTTTAGGCCCTGAAGTGGATGCGATCATGTTTTGAATTTCACAATACTGCAAGGTTGTACAATAAAATTCGACCCACTAGCAGGACTGAGAGTAGTTGTTGAAATGGAGATTTATTGCATAAATGTGGAGGTTGAGGTTTGAAGAGCTGATCCAGGGCAGAGAGCGAGGGCTGAGTGGTGAGAGGCAGATTGGCAAACACTGAACGAGGCAGGTACAAGTTAGCATTTTTAACTGAGGAACAGAAACTGGACTGGAAAACCCCCTGAAGAGACTGGATGAAATTGGCCACGGCATCAGAACCACATTAAATTGGACAAACCTGTGAAAACTTAAAGGAAGAATGTGCTTCATTTTACACATAAAAAAAGCAGAAATCAAATATATCCTGTGTAAATATCTCTCTGAGTCATGACTGTCTACAATGAGTGAGAAGCCCGAGTCCCACCAGCTGTATTGTTGTCGAAGCCGTGTTCACGTCATGTTTACATGGACGGGACAGCCCTGCCTATAAAACTGTTTTAATCAAAGGACTAGTGAAAGGAAGAATAACATATTCACTGCTTATTCTGCTTATCCGTGTTGATGTATGTGCAATATCAAGAGCTAACCAAAGTGTGCTAATGTTAGCCTGCTAACGCAACAACATACCCACGGGCAACTGCAGCTCGAGCCAAGGACAAATTTATCCGCTGCTTGTGCTTAATGGTGCTTAATTATGGTGCAATCTAATTCATGACTCCTTCGTGAGAACACGAGTGGAGAGGGGTTGGAGGTGTGTCGCTGGAGGAGAGCGGAGGCTTCAGAATAGCGGTTTCAGAGGCTTCTCAAGGGCGACATCTACTGGATCAAAAAGTCGCACATTCTTCCTTTTAAATGTAAAGCCAGGGTGTATTTTGTTGTTGGTCATTGTTTCTTATTTTTAGCTTTTTGTATTAATTACATGTTTTTATGTTGCTGTGTCCTATATGTACAAGCTGCCCATAACTAGTGGCCACATGAGATTTAATTAGTGGTTCGTGCATGTGCTGAAGGCGTGCCAGATTGGCATCAGGAGGCATGTGGCAGGGGGATATGAATGGCAACATCCAGATTCATAACAGACACACTGAAAACAAACAAACACTAAACAACAGCATGAATGAGGCTTCCTTGAAGATCCTTTATTGACTGATATCATTGCTCACTTCAGTAAATGATGCACATTTTCCCTTGAGGTACTTTATATCACCTTGACTACAGACTTCTGGACATTTGCAACCCCTTTCTTACGCACAGGTCCAATTGATGCACTGGAAACAGTGTTTTTCAGATCACAAAAATAGTTAATTCTGCCATGTGAAACAAAAGTTAAATATCAGATGAACACTGAATAATTGATTTCCATTTCTCCCTGTGATTGTAATCCTCTTTTTAGACCAAAAACCGTGGTCGTGGTGGGAATCCGATGTTTGCCTGACTCTTTTATCTTCAACCTTTTCATTCATTATGTTGATCGACCTGTTTAATCAATGTTTGCAGCTGTATGTTGGTTAAAATAATGGGTGCAAAGGTTGAAAATGTCACCTGAGCAACATCAATATTTATGAGTGAAGGCGAATAATCTCATTCTATCCAAACAGAACGCATCTACAAAGATGGGTTTTGTCAGACTGGATGTTTGACTGGTATTGAAAAATCCATAGTCAGAGTTTTAGACAGTGCTTTCAAAATTAAGCACAAATTCAGATGTGTGGGTTCAGCTACAGAATAGCACTGATGTACAGAAGAGACTCTATTTTCTTTAACTCAACCCAGCTCTGCTTGCTCCGACTCAAGCTGTCATCGACTAAACCTGGCTGCTGGGTAGTTTTCTTCAGAGTTCACCGTCAGGTTATTTGCTCTGAACACTCTGCACTAAACCAGTGTTTAAACGGACTGCAGGCGAGAGGGTTTCGACAGCCGGAGAACCTGAAGAAAAGAATCAGAAATGATCATGGACAATCAGTAATACAACCAACATGGATGTTGCCCATCTTTCTTCTGAATCTCCTTAATTTGTCAAAACAACAAAATCGCAAACTGACTTCTTACAAGATGCCAAACAGATGATGAAGAAAAAAAAACATTTTGGTCGATGTATCACTGCATGAGTTTTAAAAAGACCATATTCATTCAGAGCAGCTTTCTGCCTGATGAGCGCTCTGCAGAAACAAAACGTACACAAGAGGCAATGAGAACATAGAGAGAAGCAATATATAAAAAGGAAAATTCTGTTATTCTGTTGAAATACGGTGCCTGTCAGAGTTGAGGGCCATCAATCAAAAGGCTTTCCCATTCGAATAGACTCAGTGTTATAAATCTACTGACTCACTCCCCGCCTTATGTTCTCTGACAGCATCTAATTTATAACGGGGACTTTTCTCTCTTTATGTAAATTGAAATGTAGCTGTGTGCAAGTTGTGTACACTGTTAACGCTGGAGGAGACAGCATCATCTGTATGCAGCCCTGGGATGAATAGCTGAGGGGGGTCCACCTCCAGGTGGCCCTAGGGTGCTCTCTAACGTAATGTGGGTAGCTCTATTAATTTCAATATAGCACAGACTTTATTTCCCCTGCATTGACACAAGAAGAATGTTTGAATAGTTCATGAGACAAACAAATGTGAGATTGAAATGAGGAAGACGTTTTTGCCACAAATTAAACGGCAGAGAAACAACTTGGGATCAATTGAAAATGAATTATTGAAAACATTTGACGGAAAATGTAAATATGTGATTACTTTATGACAGCTGTTTGTGAAAAAACTCCCCACAGATTTGAAAACCCTGCACACAGTTTGAAACATTTTCTGGTAAACTGAAAAATCACATCCTGAAATACCAATCATGTGTGCATTAATCCATTTCTCATAGTCATGATGTCTTACTGAGCAGATAAGATTATTTTCTTTTTTTGGGGGGGGGGGGGGCGCAAACGTCCATGTGGGTGTGCAAATGTGTGTTTAGTAGTATCTTTGTGGCTGTGGAGGGAGGCTTGGGAGAAAATCTGCACAAATTTTGAAACATTTTCCCGGAAAAATTGATCCTGAAAAAAACAATCATGTGTGCATTAATCTTGATTGTTACTTGTTTTGGTATGCAATTCTCATAGTAGTGATTTCATACTGTACATGAGTGTGTGTGTATGGTAGTATCTTTGTGGCTTGGGAGGAAGGTTTTAGGTTGGGGAACGTGGCTATATGATGTCATCTGGTTTTATTCCTTTAAATCATATTTTGCATTGATACATTGAGTATTGTTTTGGTTGTGTGTATACCTGCCCAAAGACTACAGACAGAATCTAATCAGCTTAATCTGCTGCAATGCATCTCCTCTCATTAACTGAGATTAATGTATATTCTGTACATGGTCCCTTATCATCTAAACAATCAGCTACACTAAACTAATAAGAAACAATAACAAGATGATTCAGTTGTGTTTCGTTGGGTACCTAAGAACAAAGAAGCCAGGGCTGGCAGGTGTAATTTATGAGATGAACAGCAAGTGTGTGTCTGAATGGTTGAATGGCTGAATGGCTGAAGGACAGCATCAGTCATTTCAGATTGTATAACTTTGTTTTTCCTGCTCATGTATAAAACGTGCAGTTAAATACATTACATTTACAGTTTTACAATTAAAATTCATATTAAATACTAATTGCATAAAGATTCAATAACACATATTCTCAGGAAACTTGATGTTTTAACAAGCTTCTTCTTCCTTTACTTCTTCTTATTAAAAGTTATATATTTATTATTCATGTTATCTTATATTGGGCTTTGCTCTTGCTGTATGTTTTTTTTTTAATCTCCTTTGCTTCATATTGTACTATGCTATATTATTTATATTTACATGTTATGATCATAGACCAGGGGTGGGCAACTGGCGGCCCGGGGGCCACATGCGGCCCCCATCAACCCTCAACGTGGCCCTCGGGTCAACTTTTTGACATCGATTAATTGGAAACATGAAGAAAAGATGACAAAATCTGCCATGAAATCATGAAAACCAGAAATATGTCCATAATAATATTTGCTCACTGGTATATGTTGAGTTAAATTTGAGACATAATCGACTGTAATCGTTTTTTGTATTCTACAATTTGGCCCCTCTGGCAGTGAGAATTAAATGAATGTGGCCCCTCGCTGTGACCAAAGTTGCCAAAGTTGCCCCCAATCCCTTTCATAGACTGTAAATATAATATTACGGTTATGATGTAGACCTTCGATTTTCTTCACTGCTCTAACGCTGCAAGATTCAACCACGGTCTCATTGTAACATAAACTATTAAACACCGCCACCTGCCGGCAGGGAGGTGTACTGCAGCTCGCTTTATGTTGAACCCGGAAGTGTTGTTGAATCCCCGTTGGCTGTGGGACGAGGGCGAATACAGGTATGACAACAAACCCTTTGACAACGATAAGCATGTTCCTATAACTGTTTCTGCAGCTTAGTATCATGACAGTGTATAAATCTAATGAACTGGTTGTTAAATAAAGTTAACAGGAACACCGCTGGCGAGTTGTTTGCTTATTATCTAGCATTAGCTGTCGATGCTAGCTTCCTCACTTACTTACTAACCATTTTATTCCGCTTTTTAAAGTATTAAATGTTTTTTAAATGTGATATTGAAGGCTGTGTTTTGATAAGAAAGAGTATTGTATGGTTGTGTGTTTACTGAAGCTGTTTGTGTAGCTCCATTGTGTTGTTATTGACTAATCCAGAGTTTGTTTACATCCAGCAGATGGTGCAGTGAATGTCTTTAAAAGATTAATAACACTCATAAATGTTTGTGTTTCTCCCTGTAGTCGTTTTTTAATATTATGAAGGAAGGTTAGATATTTTATTTTTAGTGAATTTCGTTAAATAAAACAGACAGTTCATCTCTTACAGTCTGTCTTCAGTTATTTTGGTTTATATTAAATTCTGATTTATTTCAGACACATAATTCCAAATCTGTATTTATGATGAAATGCAACACAAGGATGACAACACAGACGTATAATTACTGAACTCAAGAAACCTCGTAGCAGAATACACAGCTGAGCATTTTAGTTCACATTTTTTATTTCTCACACAGGTCGTCATTTTTCTTGCACATGTTGAAGTTGTTCAGCGTTCTGTATTCGACCCATGTGGATCTGACTCAGAACAACAATCATCTTCTCTGACTTAACACTTTTTTAAGACTCCAATACATTCAGAACTCCTGCAGCCCGTCTCCTCACACACTCCCGCACCAGCGTATCAACTTCAAGCCCCCTACCTGTCTCACCTCCTCCACCGACACGCTCCCACCCGCACTCTCAGGTCTGCAGATGCAAACCTGCAGGACCAACCTTCGGTCCTGGGGGGGACAGGCCTTTCTCTGTTGCTGCTCCCACCCTCTGGAACTCTCTCCCTAAAAACATCAGAGACTCCCCCACACTCACCTCCTTCAAGAAAGCCCTCAAATCTCACCTCTTCATCACTGCCTACAACCACTAACTCCCCCCTCCCCCTACATTACTTCTTCATTGTACTGTCCTTGTCGTTTTTTGTTTTGTTTTTATGGTTTTATATTTTGTCAAAGCGTCTTTTGGTTCCTAGAAAAGCGCTATAAAAAACCAATATATTATTATTGTTAAGACAACTGGTTAATCTGTGCTTCTTATTTCCGTCCCAACAGCCCTGAATGTTGCAAATCGCAGGATGGACTCAAGTGGGAAACCCTCGACTGCACAGATTGTGGTTTTAGCCACCAGCTCGGCCCTGACTGCAGTCTTTTACTCCATCTACAGGAGCAGAGCTTCAACTGTTGCCAGATTAAAGGTTGGCAACACTTTGTCTTTGCCATGTGAATGTCAGTCGTGTAATCAGCTGTTATCCTTCATTTGTTAATCTGAGGTGTTTGTTTCTGTAGGAAGCCAAGAAAGTCTGCATCGACCAGGATTTGAAGAACATCCTGTCGGAAACTCCTGGAAGATGTGTCCCGTACGCGGTCATAGAAGGTGTGTTTGGGAAACCCTGAAACCCTAAATGAAGCTTCTGTCATGTTTGTTTAAAAAAAAAAAAACTTCTAGAAATAGTTTCCACAGCGTCTTTGTTTATCGTTCACTGCAGGTGTAGTAAGATCTGTGAAGGAGACCCTGAGCAGCCAGTTTGTTGATAACTGCAAAGGAGTGATTGAAAGACTGACGCTGAAGGAGGAGAAGATGGTGTGGAATCGCACCACTCATCTGTGGTAAGCGCTGAAAATGTTTTTAAACAGGTTCTGAATAAGGTCAAGAAGGTATGAGGAGGCTTTCAGGGCAGAGTTTGGCTTTGTGTTAACGCCTGACTGCGATTACATTTCATGTTTTTTTAATCTTTGCTGTCAGTCAGGCATAACATTATGACCACCTGTGCAAAAAAACGGTCTATCAAACTGACAAAAACTAAGCTTCTACATTTTTCAGGTTTTTATATATTTTTTTTAAAGCTTTTTTTTGTTTCTAAGCGTTGTTTTGGGGCTTTTTATGCTTTTCATTGAGAGATAATCCAGTGGATATAGTCAAAAATTGGGGAGAGAGAGAGAGGAATAACATACAGGAAAGGAGCCACATGTCCGATTCAGAAAATGAGTGCACTGCTAACATCTCTTCACAGATAGTTAGGTTATGAGCTCTTCAGCTGCAGGACATTTAACAGTGTGAAAACATTCTCTCTGCAAATGTCACCGTGGTTTAATTAGGAGCTGGTGTGGATGTTACCCTTAACACGGACACTGACAAGTACCTCCAGACACTAAGAGGAAGAGCCTTCTTTTTTTTAAATTCTTGTTATTACCAGAAAAATACTTGTGCACTTATCGAAACATGACGACATCGTTTAGAGTGGAACAAGAAGAGAAAACATGATTTTAGTTAAAGTGACAGAAATAAGAGCTGAGATATCAACTCGAGTTTTGTCATCTTGTAACTCTTTTATTCTGTTTTATTTAACACATAAGAGCTTGTTTCAGCTCCTCCAGTAGCAGTTGCACATTTATTTCCAAAGCAAATCATTTCAAGCTGAATGTCTTAGGACAGCGAACAGTTGGTTGGACAAATTTTAAAGACGTGATCTTGGACTGAGGGAAACTTTTATGTGCTTTATTTTGACGTTACCTAAACAAAAGACTAATAACTCTGATTTGTCTAAACAGGAACAACACAGAGAAAGTCATCCACCAGCGCACCAACACTGTTCCCTTCGCCCTCGGGTCTCATGACGACGATATCGCCGCCACGATACGGGTTGTGCGTCCACTAGACGCTGTCGAGCTGAACCTGGAGACCACCTACGAGAACTTCCACCCCACAGTCCAGTCCTTGTCCAACGTCATCGGGCACTTCATCAGCGGCGAGCGACCCAAGGGGATCCATGAAACTGAGGAGATGCTGCGGCTGGGGGACAGCGTCACAGGAGTAGGAGAGCTGGTGCTGGACAACAACCTGATCAAACTGCAGCCTCCCAAACAGGGCTTCCAGTACTTTCTCACCCGGCTGGACTACGAGTCTCTCCTCAGGAAGCAGGGCAACAGCGTCAGACTGTGGAGGATCCTGACTCTCCTCTTTGGCGTCGCGGCTTGTTCGACGTTAATCTTCATTCTGTGGAAACGCTACGTCCACCACAGAGAGGGTAAGAAGGAGAGGAGCATGCTGGAGGAGTTTAAGGAGAAGCAGAAGAAGCGTATGCGTGAACTGAACATAGAGGAGAGCAGCGTGTCGCCCAGCAGCTGCACGGTGTGTCTGAGCCGCGAGCGCTCCTGCGTCTTCCTGGAGTGCGGCCACGTGTGTGCCTGCGCTCAGTGCTACGACGTCCTGCCAGAGCCAAAGAAGTGCCCCATCTGCAGGGCCGCTATAGACCGCGTGGTGCCTCTTTACAACAGCTAGAGTAGGAATAAAGAATATATGTAATACAACTCACTCTCACCATCATCTTAGAGGTGAAAACAGTCTGTTGGTGCCTGAAAAAAAATCAGTGTGTTTTTTTGCACTTTTTTTTTTTTTTTTACTCACTCCTTCATATAAATATTGTGTGTTTGTGCTGAGTCACGATACGACCACATTTCCCATCAGGCATTCAAATCAAATTTGAAACCTGTACTAATAGATAAAATAAAAGCTCTTCTTTCGCAGTGAGACAGAACATTTAATTTATTTTAAGTCAAACAAATTTCAGCCCTGTGGCCTGACAGCAGTCAGTATTCAAAGTTCAACTTTTGGTTTGAAAGAGTCCTTCTCAAACATGAATCAAATTTTACAATATTTACACAGCAGCACTAAATGGTGACTCTTTAGAACTACTGAATACGATTAATACTATCAGGACATGTTTAACTTTCAGTAAGCAGTGATATTTATTATAATTCTGATGATGTCCTGGGATGTTTAAAGTCAAGGTTGGTCATTTCCTCCAGATACACTTTTTAAGATTTTGATTGAAATTGTCTTTAGGTCCTGACAGAAATTAATAACTCACGTTCTCTGAAAAAGGAACGACTAAAATCCGTCATCTGTATCAGTTTGTAAGCCTGTAAAAACTTCGACCAATGTCTGCCACGAGGTACCAACTTGATGAACCAATCACAGCCTCCCTGCTCATTCTCTACCCCACACTCAAAGCACGTCACAGATAATGGACTTTATACTGTGAGTTTGTCATTGGCCATTGTGAGTCGTAAAATAGTCCCGTTTTTTTTTTACATGTATTATAAAGTTTAGTTTAATTACTGCTGAATGAGACAATGAAACACAATGAAAGCGATGAGCTGAGGTCCGCTTCTGGAGTAACGGCGCTCGTGCATCTAAGTGAGGGGGCGTGGCTTTTGAGGGAGCACAGAGGGGGTGCAGACATAGCACTGAGGGAATGCTACTTTCTAAATCGTGCTAGTTTTTGAAAATAACCAGCCCTGCCTTTAAAGACTTAAAATCATTGAGTAGGAAAGCTTTATTTTGAACAGTCTTCAGCTGTAACCATCTCAAATCAAGAAAGGAGACGCTTATAACCATATTAGGCTGTTTTTCCATCTTCAGTCCTTGACAGGTTTAAACAGAGTGAAAGAACACTCTTTAAAAAGCAACAGAAACTGTCACACAATCAGAGAGTTGTCCTTTTCATTCCTCCCTGCATTTCTGTGGAGCTTCTTACGGCTGTAGAGAGATGTCAAGGAGGCACATTCTTATGATTTGTGAAGTGGGTTCGAGTGACTCAGTCCGAACATACCGGGGAAGATTTCTAAGACAGACTGTACTGACGTTTAGATGTATTTTGAGAAATGTGGACAATTTTTATAGTGAGTATTTTCATTTGATGAGCAGGTAAAGTCAAAACTGTTCAGTCGACCTGATCCGTCTGAGACTTGAATAAATATCCGTAAGGTTTTTTTGTGGGTTTTTTTTTGTAGCACAGGAAGAGGAAAAGGTTGTGGTTCAGACTAATATGTAAGATTAAGAATTAGTGGTGGGGGGGGAATATTTGCACAAGCTCCTGTTGAGTTGTTGAGTTGTTGAATTTGTACAGACAAAAGCTAGTGGACTGATTCTGTTCTGCTACAAAGACACAACTCACATCCACAAGAACAACTTAAAAACATATTTAAAACTTGTTTAAAAAAGGTCAAACACAGGGATGAACTCCTGGACCATCACAGGGACATTGTAACACTCCAATAAGGACAAAGCAATGAAGATGAAATACTGTGTGAATTACTGTATTAAAACAAAAACCTACATTGTATGAAAGAAAAACAGAACTATTTGAGGACGATGGAATATTTTCTGCCAGGAGAGGGTGCTGTCTGCATGTTTGGGTGAAGAAGAAGACGAGGATGTGCAGTCCGTGAGCACAAACGATCACAACAAGAACGTGATGCCACTTGATAAAAGCTGCTGATGTTCACTCTCACTGGATTTTTCACACCTTGTTAACCTCATTGCAAACTGCCCGTACCTGAAAATACTCAGAAGACACCACATCGGAAATTGTAGTTTTCAAAAATCGTATTAATTGAAAGAATTAAATCCTCTGTTTAGCTTCAATGTTGAATAAAAATGAATCAATTACTGTCCTGTTTTCTCTGACATCCAGCCACAAATTAAAGTCTGTTAGAAATGGAGATAACACTTATTATTCTTGTATGGGGGGGAAAAAAAAGCTCTTTACAGCTGTTTATTCTGAGAATTTAAAGACAAACTGTGGAGACAGAACAGAGGCAGTAAAAATGCTTTTGTACGACTCGGTTGGAGGCCAGCAGGGATGCATATCTCGCTTCAGAGGAGGTCGTCTTCACTAAAACAAAAGAATGCTCTTTGTACTTCCAAATACATTGGGGGGAAAAATCCAATTTTTATAAGCCCACATTATGCCAAGAAACCTCAGATGTTTTATTTAACATCACATCAGGACCTTGGCATTATCACGACATTAGTATTCAGCGGCTTACCCACAGAAATCTATTTTCCAGGAGTGAGCTGATGCCCGGCTGTCTCTGAAGGAACCAGAGCTAAATGTCAGACAGAGAGAGTAATCAAACAGCCGACGAGCATTATGCACTCCTTTATTTTGGAAGTACTGTATTGATGGCATTACGAGCCTCATTGTGGGACCTATTTTTAACTTTCATGCCTTGTACCTGGAATACTTATAAGTATGAGGGATGTAAATACAGTTTGATCTTTTGTATAGATTTTGTGAGAAACTGCATTGATTCTTCTGAAAGTTCCAGTTTCTCCAACTTCCATTCAAAACCCAGAACTAAAAATAAATAAATATGGATGCTTCATATCAGTCAAAGACCTCAGTGAAATGTTATTAAAACAGAGTCAGCAGGCAGGCAATATATTTTCTCATGAAGGGAACCATGAGTCTTGCACAGCTGCTAGCATGGTGACAGATCTTCTGTCAGACATGTCTGAATTTATTATAGCGTCAAGTCAATTTTATGTATACAGCACATAAAAAAACAACAGGAGCTGGGGCGCTGGTTGTGTAACTGATTGGATTGCGCGCCCCATGTACAGAGGCTGTGGTCCTCCAAGCGGGCCGCCCCGGGTTGTGGCTCCTTTCCTGCATGTCATTCTCCACTCCATCTCTCCCTGATTTCTGACTCTATTCATGTCCCGTCTCTTCAGTGAAGACATGAAAAGCTCAAACAAAAACAACAAGAGCTGAACCTAAGTGATTCACAGCTGACATTATATAAGACACAATAATAAAAGAACAATGTTTCCTATATGGATACGCTTTAAAATGTTTGAGATTATAGGAGAAGCTGAGTAAAACTGAACTGATTCAAAAATCAAAGACAGAAAAATCTCAAATACAAGCAAATGAATGGAGGAGCATTAAACCTCATCCTCAAGTAAAAAAGGTAAGTCTTTAAGTTCCACTTTTAAGTTTTTCTTTCCTGTGCTGCTTGTCAATTTTACAAAAAAACAAAACATAGGCCACTTAAAATCCAGCGTTCAGCCAATAGTCACAACTTGACAAACTACATAATTTCTCTGGCTCACAAACATGAAAGAAGCAGCAGCAGCAGCCGCTCCGGTTCCAACACCATGGAAACCTTCAATCTGGTCCTGCAGCTCTTTTATCAGCAGGAGCTGCCAATGTACTGACAGTGAGTGAACCATCAAAGACATTCCCTCCATTATTCCCCACTTAAGAGTTCTGAATTTCAATGCCAGATGAGGACTGCACAATGAGAGCTACAGTCTGCGTTAATGACCGAGGTGAGGTGTTTACCTGAGAGCATTTTTACTCGCACATGAATTCCATTTGCAGTTTAAAGGACATCACTTTTTTTTTTATCTCTGCACCCGCATCAGTTGAACCCCAGAGTCCACAAAGAAGATTGACATGGCTGTCAAAACAACAAACATGTCAGATATGATTTTCCCCAAACAAAAGAAGATCTGAGACGGGGAGATTAATGGTGTTTCTCAGACAAGGCATTGATGTGAACCGCTCGTGGATTTACTGAGTAAACAGACGAGCCTGGCTTGTTCTAATTTGGTGGTAAGGACGTTCAAAATAAAGTAATTAAATGTATCATTGACTCATTTTACAGCCCTAATTAAATTAGTTGCAGAAGAGTTTAATACAGGATTAAAGTCTTACTTTAATTCTCACTCACTTTCTCATATTGTGTTTCATTTTTAAAGCACTCAAACCTCCCAAGACTCCCTTTATACTGCTGGGTTTAGTTGGAACTGGTACCACTCTATAATAAGGAGCTGAAAATTCTGTATTTTAGAGAACAACACCTTAAGGTTACTGAATGTACTCTACTCTGCAGGGGGGATTAGCCAGCTGTCAAGATGGTGAATAGATTTTTCATTGAATTAGGCCACAGTCATGGTGACACCTTGTTCAGACTGGAAGTGTCTCTCGATGACATGACACTGTGTAGAGTCTTGATCTTGAAGCACAGCTCTGACAAACGGAGAGAAAAGTTTTCTTTCTCTTTTCCATGGTTCTCCATCCTCATTTTTGCCTGCTGCACACCTGAGGGAAATTTGCTGTTGAGGAGGAGGAGGAGGATTTAAGAGCAGTGGAGCCTCAGGACCCACCAACTACTCCTTCATGAAAAATCAATCAGATTTATTTAAAGAAGAATTGTGCAGTTTGGAGCTCAGGTGGTACAAAGCTTGATAGAGCAAAGAATCTGAATTGAACAAACTTGTTTAAAAAAGCGCTTCATAGACTTTTCTTTAAAGGATTTTTCTTCCAAGCACACATTTGCGACCCACTGAAAACGGCTCCGCGACCCACTTTTGGGTCCCGACCCCCCAATTGAGAACCACTGAGGAGCAGGTAGAGGAGGGAGGTGGGCACACAGACTCTCTGGGCAGCATCTTTACTTAGTTTTATTTTCCCCGAGCTAGGTATTTATTTATTCCCCCATGCAGCTTCCTGGGTTTTGTTATTTCCTACCACTGGTAATCCTGTTTTTGGTCGTTTGTTTATAGGTTAGTTTATATTTCAGGTAGTATTAGAGGGAGGTGCTGGGGGTCTCCAGCCTGGTTTGTTTCCTTCTGTTTATTCTCTATCTTTTGAGTAGCCTATTTTGGGGAGGTAATTTATGTAAACAAAGCTCTTTGGTCCTTTCAATCTGTGTGGCGTCCCTGTATGTTTTCTGTCTCCACGTTGGGAGCCTTGGCTTACTTAGTTTGAGAAGGAGGCCGCAACAGGATAATTAATCAGTTTCAATAACAGTCACGGCTAACTGAATCATCCACATTACCGTGATTACATCTTGCCTCTAAAAGAAATTGGATATCCCGTTGTTACTACACCAGCCTACACACAAAGAGTCACATTAAAGACTTTCTTTTGTATCCAAGGGTCTCAGGTGAAACGACAGAGTAGCAATGTGAGGCCGACATAAAGGAAACAATACACTTATTAAAATGAATTAGGCAATGTGTCAAATTAAAGGTGCACTACAGAGTTTTGGTAGAGAGATGTGAAGGTTGGAGAAGTGTACAGATTATGTGGTATATGTTCATAACTCTATACATAAACTGTCCTCAGAGGAAAATTTGCTGTGTCCAAATAGAGATGTCATTCATCCTACGACCTATACCCCCAGACTCCCTTTAAATCAAGCAGTGCAATTACTTCCTTTGTCTGTGTGCTATTTATGTACACAATAAACGGCTGTGATATAGTGTCATGTGTTCAATTAGACATCAGCCTCCTTTGTACAGCCAAAGGACTTTAAGTAGCTGTAAATTAGGAGAGTAATTGCCACTGGAGAAAATGTTGCACAGACAGACTTGTTTGGGTAGAAATCATGATGACTGTCTGACTCAATGGTTGTGTGATGTTTTTTCTAGACCTAAATCATAATTAAAAAGTAAGTTTGTAAAAAAAATAAACACTCCTTAGTTGCTTCTTACTGTGATATACTTTATTGAACCCGACCCTTTGTAATTGAAATTATTTTTATCAGACATATTTGTGGATGCTGTATCTCAGAGTCTGTAGCTTAGCAACAGCTTTATGCTTCAAAAGTTCCTATAAGGCCATTTTCCATGCTGTTTTTGCTGTTCCCACATGTAAATAACACAATGCGCCTGAATACATGTATCAGTTGATAACCTGTGCCTTTGTATCAGGGTGCTCTTCAAAAGCTCCCTGCGCTGAGCAACAGTTTGAGTCTTTTTTGATCTACGGAGAAGGGTGAAGGTGGTGATTAGCACAACAATAACGAGCTATCATTTAGCTTTTTTTTCTTGTCTGTTCTCATACCCTTCCCTCCCACCATTTCTCTTTTGCTCAACCTTTTCACAATCTCTGTTTTATTTAATGCTGTACATCTTTTACCCTGTAATAGGGTGTATGGTACAAATGATATCTTGACATCCTAATTGCTTGTTGCTGCTTTGATTTCAAGGCGCCATGTTGTGGCTGCTTTTATTGTTAATGAGGTAGCCGTCATTTCACTGGAGGAAGATATAGATGCCGTATGTGTCACCTTGATATCACATGAATATACTGAGACAGATGGAATCATACAGCATTCATTATGGAAGCTTTCATAAGGCAATGTTTATTATAATTAAGTATTTGTGGCTTATACTTTAATGTATTTAAAAAACCCGAGGTGGACTATCTCTTGGAAAGCTTTGGTTTCGTCCATTGGCATTGTGTTTTTTTTTGTGATGGGGAGGGGGAGAATTGTCTATATTTAGATGACATGGTTGGTATGCATTGTTTTCTATCTATACTGGTTGCTAGGTCGTCTTGGAGGTGACTTGTTAATCCCAAGCAGCCACAACCTGAAGCACACTTTGGTTTATTATCAATGTTACTCTTGATGGAGACATTTTTTCTGCAAATAATTACGAACAATGAACTCAGTAGAAAAATGTTTACAGAGGTAATAAATCAACTAGGAAGCAGGACATTTTCCAATTTGGTTCCTTATACAATCTTTTTCATTTTAGCAGTACCCCCTTCCAATTGGCAATTCCACATTGGCATCACTATAGAAACAACAGGTGCCTGTATGGTCTTAATAATAGACTATATATATAGACTGTAAGTGTAAATGATAGTTACACTCGTCAATAGTTAGTTGTTTATATTGACATGTAGTAGTTTGACAGAGGCTTATGTCAAAGCTTTGTACAAATGAATGACAGTCAAAGCCCCCGAATGAGAAGAAGACATCTAAACTAAGTGCCACAACACTCATTTTCAGGTTCCGCTCAAAATGCCACGGGGTTGCAGGTGCAAGCAGCAATGAATAAATGTCTTAGAAAATTAGGAAGAGACAGGTTGTGAGGTGAGTAGTTACTGAGGGAATTCAGCGAGGTTGGTGGCATGCTAGAAAGAGGCCACTGTCGGCTATCATGAGTGATGACATTCAGAAAGATATATGGGAGCCAGTGAAGAGTAATGTGAAAAGTTAAGAGCATGCTTTTTTTTCATTGAAGACCAGATTTGCTGCTACTCTTTTTTTCAATTCATCGAGCATTTCTATGCATGCTTGTAAAATTGTCAGGAGAATTTGAACTATCGTCAAGGCAGAGTCAACTATGCCTGTAAATGGAGTTGAGTGGCTGCATATCATTCCTTAGTTTATATTTCAACAGAGTTGGAGACCCAGTTGATGAACTACAACTTTCCTTTATCTTTGGCTCTCCATTCACCCATCTGTAAGCACTGCTCAGACAGCTTACTTTCCGTGAATGTGATAATCCATGTCTTTAACCCATTTGAAGGAAAAATTGCAGTAATTTTCTTTGCTCATAAAACCTATAAAGAGATCAAATAAAAATGGCGCTCCACCAGCGGTCAGATAAAAAGTCGGGGTTTAAATTAATTCTGAGATGTAGGGATCAATCTTTGGGAAGAGAAAGGTAGAGTGTGGAGTAGAGTGTCATTAGCACAGCAGCGGTGACAAGAAAACAAACATATAAGCGAATAACTGCAGCAATGAAAGGGGTCCAATAATTGATCCCTGAGGTACCCCTTGTCTCCAGTAGTGAAACAACAGATAGGTCCTGTATCTTTGCTTGAGTTAGTTTATTACATGCATCTGCAGAGCAGATCATATCATTAACAGTTATAAAGACACTACAGAAGTTTTCAACAGCGTCAAACAGTCAACAATCATTTTTTAAAGGCACACACAGCAAGTGGAAAGATACTGTACTATACAACCGAACTAGCACATAAAAAAGTACAATTACAGCGGCACTGATACTACTGCAATTACAGCACAAAAAATATACTATATGACATCTACTGTACTCTCATTTCAGAGAGCAAAATACTGTACTGCGCTACTAGCTTCAATGTGACATTTCAGTCAGTAAACAAACAACATAAACACCTGTGTTCATGCAGATAGATCTATGAGACTCAGACTGAGTGAAAAAAAAATCAATACCTGAGTAAAGCAACACTGCAATGGAATAAAACAAAATCCAGTCAGTCAAATTTCAAGAAAGAAAGTACCTGTGGTGTTTAAAAAAAAATTAAAAAAAGGAAGCAATCTTTATCTGCACTATTTAAACTTCACTGAACACGTCTGTATTTTCTGACAACTTTATAATTTGGTTAGGCACTTGTGGTAAAGCTGTGAGTACTGCAAGTACAATCGAACAAACAAGACCTTTTTTATCTGTGATTTTGTGAATTTTGTGAATCAATTTTAGCATAAAAGCCAACAGCTACACCCATATTGAGAATAACTCTTATTGTTCATGAAATCAAAACGGATGAGTTTTCAAAAAATCCACCCCCCGTACATGTACTGTACGTGTGTGCCTAATCAGACCTATTTTTTGTTTTTTGAACCAGGCTGTATAAATGTTAATTTCTGCTGTAAAAACTGTATTTTTTAAATGGGTGTGTACAGTATGTGACAGTATATGTCTGAAGCCTACCTCAAGCAGATACTTGACAAACTGCAGGGTTTCGCACTTGGGCAGGGCTTTATTTTTCAACACCAGAGGTTGCTGCTTGGTTTAAACACAATATTAGCTTTAGCTTTGTCAGCTTAGCTTTTAGTTAGCTATGCTAATCTAAACCCTGGCAGTAACAGAATGTAAAAAAAATGATTTTCTTAAAACTATTAGCTACATGACAACCGGCTTTTATGGTAGAACCATTTTTGATAAGTGAGGCGTAAATATCCACTTACATGGCATTCGATTGAACCTAAAACAGGTTCATTTTAAACTTCCTAACAGATGGTGTGTAACCAACCTTTGGCTCTGTAATTGTCTGAATCAAAAACAACAAATACATGATCAAAGTTTCTTCGACAGCTTAATAAGTGCAAAAAAATAAATTGTACATATTAAATAATATGCAGTAAATGACATGCTAGTGGGATACACAGTCATATTTTCACATCAAAGCCAGATATTTTTTTTAAATCCAAATCTTAAAAGTATTTTTTCATTAGCTTCTTGCATATTTTTTTTGTCTGCAGAAATTGCACATATGACTAACAGTAATGGGAGCACGCATTGCAGAAGATAGGCAGTACTGCTAGCAAGTAACATGAAGTTCTCATGGGACATTTTTTCTACAATTAAAATCCTTCAGAACATCATGAATGATATTAAAACAGTATGTGTCAACAAGCTTTCTCTGACAATAGTTTTATAGAATTCTCCCCATAACATCAATATGATGGCAATAAGACATTTTCTCTTGAGTTGAACTTTAGTGATCCAGCATGCTAATCATTTTACACTCACATTCTTCTCCATGACACTCAAATCTGTGGCATAACTCAGATTAGATCCTTTGCTAACACGGATCCAGCTACAGTTTATGGCACCAGCGAGGTAATAGCTTGCACAGAATGCCTCTGAAGAGCCTGTGATATGTTTGGAGGATCAGAACACATACAGAACAAAACACACATTTTTCACCACTGCAGCGGCAAAATCTGACAAAAAAAAACAAAACTGCTGAACAGAGAATAGTACAGCCTCGGTTAGCATAGTATCATATTGAATGGAGTTCTTTCACTGTTCTGTATTTTTAGTCTTGCACTAGCAGGCCTCAGACACTGTTTGGGTTATAACAGAGCATGTTCAGCTGCAGGTTTTCATCCCAGTGTCTGAGGATGATGAAGAGTTGGTTGGCGGCAGACTTAATGGAGGCCAAGTCTTTGCCTTCTGGGATTTCTTGTGCATTCAACCACATGCTAGCCTTGGCAGCCACCATTTCCCACTCGATGAAATAACTAGCAGAGCTGTGCTCCAACCAGGCAAGCGCCACCGCAGTTGCCCAAACCATGCTCTCTGGATCCTGTACGCTCTTTGGGCTGCTGCTGAGTGATGCTGCCTCCAATCCCCCGGACCCTGAGCCGCGTCCACTGTCCCCCTGGGAGAGCGGAGACAGCTGGGGCTCCGCGGTGGTGGATGGACTGCCTAATAAGGAAGAGGCAGCATTCATCCAGCTGCTCCTGGACAGGTGAGATGGGCTCTGGACGCCCACAGTGTGCTCTGCGGACGGCTGGTTTGTTTCTGGCTCACACGGCGATCTGTGTCCGCCATCGGCGCTCTCAGTGCGGCGGCTGCTGGAGTGAGACAGGTGGCCCAGGCTGGTGCGGTGGCTGTTGAAAGGTGACGTCCACTTCAGCTTGTCCATAGGGACATTGATGGCGTCACACAGAGCTGTGTCCAAGGGGAACGCACCACTAGCCAACTGCAACAACACCTGTGCAGAGGGAAACCGTTCACAGACTGACAGGAAGTATAGCTTTGGTTATTTTATGTTTTTTGTTTTTTTTTAATGTTGGCCTGTGCCTTTACTTGATAGGATAACAAACAGGAAACATTGTGTGGAGAGATTGGGGATGACATGTACCAAATGTCAGAGTCAAACCAGGGGCTGATGCAGCAAGCACTGTACACAGCACTAGTGCTCTAGCCAATTTTTAGACTTGATGAAAAATGGTTTTAAAAAATCTCATTAAAACCAAAAGTACAAACATATATCCAAATAAAGCATAATTACAGCACCAACAAGGGGTCAGATGTCTTTGGTTGCACTGTTGGGAACAGGAATCCTTCCTCTTGTCCTTAATGTTGGCAGATTCAAAACATAAGGAAGAAAATCTGGATGTAGGAATCATGCAAATTAGAAGCGGTTAAGAAACGGATACATTTTTTTTCCTTATCATGATGAATTAGGAACACCTATGATAATGTTCAAATGTTCACACAATGACGATGCAAAAAATGCTGCTTTATTTTTAGGCTTCTAAGTTGGCTTCTCTGTCAGCTGTAATTCTTCAATACTGCACCATTATTTGGTTCATTTCCATAAAAAAAGGGTTTTGACCTTCTCCAATCAGCAGCTGGACTCCAATCAACAAAACAGAGGTGAATTGTGTCACTACGGATACCTCTGTAGTTGTTGGTAAAGAAGGTGGAAATCATTTTTTTGGCGAATCTTCAACATTTTTCACATCTGTTTTTTCTCTTTTGAATTTTAAAAGTGATGAATAATGTATGAACGACGTGATATGCACATCATAATCAGAGTGTCCTTTGAGGTCTTGGTAGTTTCAGGGAGAGCCAGAGTGTGGCCTTGGTAATCATACAGAAGCCTCTACACTGCTATAGCCCTCCAAAAGCAAAGATTTGAATTTTTACAGGCTTTTTGAATCCCTGCCAATATTCATTGCAAGGATGAATACACAGTGTATACAGTAATAATTAGCTCTTTCAATGCTGACAATAATAAAGAGATATACTGTGAATCAAAAGTATGTTTTAGTAAAAATGCATGCAAAAGCCTGACCAAGATGGCGGCGCAAGCGCATCGCGAGGCCCAGCGTCTCTCTCAGATTTGCAATTTTGCAGTAATTTTATTGTTAATTTCGGGTCTGTTCGCACGGAACAGCCTCGCCTTAACATCCTACACCCGACAGGAACTTTTGGATATTGGAATACACCTCCCTGACGATCTAATCAACAATCTTCGACTCATCCCTGAGATCGCCAAAACAAAGGCAGGGGAAGCGCGGAGGTATAAGAGCTAAGCTAAAGCTAACACCGCACTGTCTCCCGTTACCCAGCATTTTCCTCGCTAATGTGCGGTCTTTGGTGAACAAAATGGACGAGTTACGACTTCGCATCATCCACAGCAAGAGAATTATGGACTGTAATGTCATGATCTTCACGGAAACATGGCTAAACAACGGAGTACCGGACGATGCTATCAAGCTAGCCGGTCGCCACACACACCGAGCAGACAGAACAGCAGAGGACTCCGGTAAGACCAGAGGAGGAGGGCTGTGCATTTATATTAACAAAGCTTGGTGTACAGACTCTGTCATTATTGGGAGACACTGCTCAGCTAACATTGAGTTTCTCATGGTTAAATGTAGACCTTTCTATCAGCCAAGGGAGCTCAGCTCCACTATTGTAACTGCAGCCTACATCCCCCCTGATGCCGATGCAAAAGCTGCTATGAAGGAACTTTACACCGCTATCAGTAAACAACAGACTGCTCACCCGGAGGCTGCATTTATAGCTGCAGGTGATTTTAATCACTCAAACTTAAAGACAGTGCTCCCTAAATTTCACCAGCATGTTTCCTGCAATACAAGAGGAAACAAAACTCTGGACCATGTTTACACAAACATCGCAGGAGCCTACACCACGACCCCCCTCCCCCACCTGGGACAGTCAGACCATCTTTCTTTGTTCCTCATCCCCAAGTACTCCCCACTCATCCAACGTGTGAAGCCATCAGTGACAACGATTAAAGTGTGGCCAGCGGGGACAGACTCTGTACTTCAGGACAAGTTCCATCACACAGACTGGAGTATGTTTGCTTCTCAGGCTACCTTGGGCTCTCACACAGACATTGACACCTACACTTCTTCTGTGCTGGATTATATCAACACCACCATCGACAGTGTTACAACATGGAAGCAGATCACCACGTACCCAAATCAGAAGCCACGGATGAACAAGGAGGTGCGTCTCCTGCTGAAGGCCCGCAACACCGCCTTCAGATCAGATGATGCAATGGCCTACAGCGTATCCAGGGCAAACCTGAGGAGGGGCATCATCAAGGCCAAGCACTGCTACAAGCTGAAGGTTGAGGAACACTTCTCCAACTCCGACCCCAGACGCATGTGGCAGGGCATCCAGGCCATCAGTGATTATAAACCCAGAAACTCCACCCCGATAACCACAGATGTCTCCTTCCTGAACGAGCTAAATCACTTTTATGCTCGTTTTGATAGAGACAACAGAGAGACGCAGACCACGACCAGACCTCCTGCAGACAACCAGCCCCTCTCACTCACCTCCACAGACGTCCACGCTGCACTGAGCCGGATCAACGCTCGAAAGGCTGCTGGTCCAGACGGCACCCCCGGGCGCGTGCTTAGAGCATGTGCGGAGCAGCTCACTGGGGTTTTTACGGACATCTTTAACCTGTCCCTCGCCCAAGCAGCTGTGCCAGCATGTTTCAAAGCCACCTCCATTGTCCCAGTGCTGAAACACTCCAGCCCGACAGGCCTGAACGACTACCGCCCTGTAGCACTCACACCCATCATAATGAAGTGCTTTGAGCGACTGGTCCTAGCACACCTGAAAAACTGCCTCCCACCCACACTGGACCCATACCAGTTTGCCGACCGCAGCAATAGGAGTACAGAGAATGCAGTCTCCACTGCGCTGCACTCTGTGCACATCTGGACAATAACAACACATACGCACGAATGCTGTTTGTTGATTTTAGCTCAGCATTCAACTCTGTCATCCCCTCCAAGTTAAACACTAAACTCGGAGACCTGGGCTTCAACTCCTCCCTTCGTCACTGGATAATGGACTTTCTGACCAACAGACCCCAGTATGTTAGGTCAGGTCACACCTGCTCCACCACCATCACACTCAACACAGGCGTACCACAGGGCTGTGTGCTGAGCCCATTCCTCTACTCCCTCTTCACCCACGACTGCAGACCTGTACATGGATCCAACACCATCATCAAGTTTGCGGACGATACGGCGGTGATTGGCCTCATCAGCAACAACGATGACACGGCCTACAGGGAGGAGGTACAGCATCTGGCCGCCTGGTGTGCTGACAACAACCTGCTCCTCAACACCAGCAAGACGAAGGAGATCATCGTGGACTTCAGGAGAGAAAGAGGAGGCACACACAACCCCATTCACATCAACGGGATGGCTGTTGAACGTGTCTCCAGCTTCAAGTTCCTGGGGACCCACATCACAGAGGACCTCTCCTGGTCCACTAACACCTCCAGTCTGGTTAAGAAGGCTCATCAACGCCTCTTTTTCCTGAGGACACTGAAGAGACACCACCTGTCTTCAGCTGTACTGATGAACTTCTACCGCTGTGTGATCGAGAGCATCCTGACCAGCAGTGTCTCAGTCTGGTACGGAAACTGCTCTGTCACAGACCGTAAGGCGCTACAGCGGGTGGTAAAAACCGCCCAGCACATCACAAGGTGTCCACTTCCTGCCATTGAGGATGTCCAAAGAAAACGCTGTCTGTGGCGAGCTCACGGCATCCTTAAAGACTCCTCCCACCCTGCCCACAGACTGTTTACCCTCCTGCCCTCCGGCAGGCGCTTCAGAAGCCTCCGGACCAGAACCAGCAGACTGAGGAACAGCTTTTTCCCCAGAGCTGTTTCTCTACTGAACTCTACCCCCGAACTCTGAACTCTGTCTCTCTCTCTCTCTCTCCCTCTCTCTCTCCGCCCCTGCTGACCCCCCCTTTCCCCTGCATATCACCTCACACCCATCATCCCCCCACCACTCCTCCTGGTCACACACACACATCTCTCATCCATCTGTATTATTGTATTATAGTATGTTCATATTATGTCCATATTCTTTATATTATCTGTAAACTAGTATAGCATGCTCACTGCATCTTAATCTGTATATTATTAGTATAGCATGCTCACTACACCTTAATCTGTATATTATTAGTATAGCATGCTCACTGCATCTTAATCTGTATATTATTAGTATAGCATGCTCACTGCACCTTAATCTGTATATTATAATCCTAAGAACACACTTATTTTGTAACATTACTTATTTATAGCATTTATTTATATTTATAGCATCCCATTAATCCAGCCATCCATATATACCTAATAATTCACTTTTTTTAGTCTACATCTGTAAATTTTGTAATTACTTGCACTTTCTGCTTATTTGCACTTCTGGTGAGATGCCAAACCTCATTTCGTTACTCTATACTTGTATATGTGTAATGACAATAAAGTTGAATCTCATCTCAAAAAAAAAATACCCTTTACATAGACATATGCAAGCCAACTTTCACCTCTGTGTTTTAAGACCGACAGCCAGACAGACGAACAAAAGAAAAGATGATACGTCTGTCTATTTGTCATCACTCTTCATCCTGCCTCCACGTTACCTGGTCAAGCCTCTCCATCTCCTCTTCCTCCTCCTTACTGCACACCTGTTTCCCATCCACAATCAAGCCTGCAGTGGTTAAAAAAGCTGATCTCTCATCTACTCTTAGCCCAGATCGTCTGCTCACCATCACATGTTTTTGCCTGCCTGCCTTCCACAACCTCTCCTGCTCTACTACCAGCCATAAGGTTTCTGTGTTTGTTTTGTTGCACTTCGGTCCAGCCTTTAGTGAAATCGTAACAAAAGAAAAAAAGAAAAGATAAGACAAAGAAAAACAGAAAGTAAGCAAGACATAATGAACTGAAAAAAGGTTATAAAAAGAGAAAGAATGAAAGAGAGAATGAGAGAATGAGAGAAAGAAAGAGAGAAAGAAAGAAAAAAGAGAGAGAGAAAGAAAGGAAGAGAGAGAGAAAGAAAGACAGGAAGGAAGAGAGAAAGAAAGAAAGGAAGAGAGAGAGAAGGAAAGAAAGGAAGGAAGAGAGAAAGAAAGAAAGAGAGAAAGAAAAAAGGAAGAAAGGAAGAAAGAAAGAAAGGAAGAGAGAAAGAAAGAAAGGAAGAGAGAGAAAGAAAGAAAGGAAGAGAGAGAGAAAGAAAGAAAGAAAGAGAGAAAAAAGAAAGGAAGAGAGAAAGAGAGAAAGAAAGAAAGGAAGAGAGAGAGAGAGAAAGAAAGAAAGAAAGGAAGAGAGAAAGAAAGAAAGACAGAAAAAAGAAAGAAAGGAAGAGAGAAAGAAAGAGAGAGAAAGAAAGAGAAAGAAAAAGAAAAAAGAAAGGAAGAGAGAAAGAAAGAAAGGAAGAGAGAAAGAGAGAAAGAAAGAAAAAAGAAAGAAAGGAAGAGAGAAAGAAAGAGAGAGAGAAAGAAAGAGAGAAAGAAAAAAGAAAGGAAGAGAGAAAGAAAGAAAGGAAGAGAGAAAGAAAGAAAGAAAAAAGAAAGAAAGGAAGAGAGAAAGAAAGAGAGAGAGAAAGAAAGAGAGAAAGAAAAAAGAAAAAAGAAAGGAAGAGAGAAAGAAAGAAAGGAAGAGAAAAAGAAAGAAAGGGAGAGAAAGAAAGAAAGGGAGAAAGAAAAAAGAAAAAAGAAAAAAGAAAGAGAGAAAGAAAGAAAGAGAGAAAGAAAAAAGAAAAAAGAAAAAGAAAGGAAGAGAGAAAGAAAGAAATAGAGAAAGAAAGAAGAGAGACGGAGAGAAGAAAGAGAGAAAGAGAGAATAGGATGTAGACTGCGTTCATGCTGTATTCTTCTTCACTGTTCTTCACAGCTTTGAACAGCTGATTGCTTAACCAACAGTCTCAACAGGCTGTAACAACGCTCTCGTTCTTCAGACAAATCTTCACCCAGCTGAAAAAAGTCTCCAGTAAAAAGCACCTGCAGTAAATGTCTGCTACCCACCAGAGGAATGTAGTCTTTGTTCTCGTTGTCACTCTCTCCGATTGAATCGCCGGACTTGCTGTGAGATCGACACATGAATCCTTTGGCAGCCCGGGTCAGGAGACGAGTCCTGCTGAGGGCCAACCTTACAGAGCGGAGGGAAAAGCTGATGGATTACAGAGTATCGTGTGTGAAGCAAACACAGCTACTGCGTTTGCTGCTTCTCTACAGGGATCGTGAAAGCAATCTCTACTTAATCACAACACATCTCACAATTCATTTAAGAAATATCTAAGCAACAAATACTGAGTACATTGTCACTACATACTGTATGGTTGAGACATACAGGTACCCAGAGGCAGTGGTGATTCTGGTGGGGCCCTATAGACATAGATCAATTGGGGGGGGCCCTCCAACCAGCGTTCATCATCATGTTGTCTGCCAGTGTCCTGATTTTTTTCTCTCCTATAGACAGATTATTCCTCTTCATTTTTCTTTGTTTACTTTTATTCACACACTTTGGTTATCGCAGCAACGCTTAGCGGGGCAACGAGAGTGAGTGCTGTCAGGTGGGGGGCCCCCTCAGGGAGGTTTTTGCAAAATTTGCACCTTTTGAGCCACTGCTTTTGGTTTAAGTTTGTGAGCCCTCAGGTGCCCCTTTACTCGTCTGGGGCCCCAAGCAGTTGCCTGCCATGCTTGTTGACAAACAGCTCCTCTGCTCAGAGGATGAAGGTTGATTATTTTGGTAACCCTCTCCCTCCCCTCAGAGTTTGGACATTAGATTTTGTGCGGCGCCCCGACCACTTCTGGACATATTGGCATGGCATTTGATGAAAAAATCCCTCAAGGAATTTAAGAGTAACAACTTTGGACGCCAGTATTCTTTTATGACCAATAACTTACAGAACTAGTGACATTTTCATCAGTCTAAACGATACTTTTGTTTATTGCTATTAGCATGCTAACTCACTACACTAACATGGGAGTGTATCTTTGTTTGCAGGGTCTTATGTTCCTTTCACAATTTCCAGTCGGCCACATGAATCATTAAAAAGACCTTTCAAAGGGGTTTCTGTTCTTTCTTGTGTCCAGTGTTCAATGTATGTTTGTCTGGGTCAATATGCTGAAATGAGCCACCTGAGGCTCATATTCCATTAACTCCTTCAAACCTAAGCCCTTAACTCTTGAAAAGATTTTTTTTTTAACACTGACATCGATCTGGCTAAGTGGATTTTAGACATTAACTATGGCTGTGTCCGAAATCACTAACTACAGTATTCACTATATATTGCTCATCGTATCCCACAATGCATGGTGAAGAATTGTGTAGAATCGATGGTCCCTATCCAATCAATATATACCATCATGCATTGAGTGCTCTCAGACAGACGAGAGGAGAGACCAGCATGAACACAGAAACACGTTATTACTGAAATCTAGAAGCTGTTTTAATAAAGAGAAAAGGATTTTCAACAGAGTAACGTATGCCTTGATAACTTCATCTGAGCTCTCCCACGACGAGCTAACTTCAGAAGGAAATGGTCACAGTGTGAATATGAAGATTTTTCTGTTCATTGGCGAAAAGCTGAGAAAGTACGCAAAGTTTGAACTTCCCTCTCTCAGCTCTCTTTCTTTTCATTAATGTCGCTATTAATAAAACTCTGAGTGCACCACTGTGGATGCCCTCCATGAAGGAGATTACATACAGTATGGGTGCCATTATCCCCATACATAATGGTATCTTGCTTCCTTTCTTTTAATATCGGTTTTCTCCCACGTCCCAAGAACGGCCTCATTGAGTCTGAAAGTCTTGATTTAGAAAGGAAAATTAGTTCCAATGTACCTTTTTTATGCCTGTGAGTGCTTAGGAGATAGTTCTGTACTGCATTGATATGTTGACTTCAAGACAGCAGACCCTTTAAAAAAATCAGCGAAGACAATTCAATAAAGATGAAGGTGATTTAAATATCCTCGTCCCTTAAAGCAGCAGGTAAACATTTCATTATTAAGGCTAAGGTCCTCGTGTTTGCTAATACAATGGCAGGTAACGCAGCTAGAGCCCACTTACGGAGCCAGACGGTCTCCAGACACCCACCTGGCGGAAAAAAGGCTCTCCACTGTTTTCTGAGATTGGTCAGAGGACACAGACGGGCTCCTTTGAGAGACTTCGAGAGAGACATGCGGAGAGAGACGCAGAGTTACACAAGGGAAGGGGCGAGAGAGAGGAAAGCAGCGGCATTTTCTGACAATTTTCTATTTAGTTCTCTACATGAGTCTCAGATCATAAAGAGGTAAAACACACCCACTGAGATGAACTAAAGACGCAGTGGTCATATACTCCAGTGGCAATCTTTTCCCTCTGCACATGAAACAACTTTTCTCTTGTGTGTTTCTGTGTGTGCGTGTGCCTTCAGTCCATGCTCGCTATATATTTTTTAATTCTAAGGTCCAGACAGCTTTTGTCAACACAAGCCAAAAAAACTGTTTCGACGTCCGCCATCACTTACGAGAAGATGGACTGAAATGTTAATTATCTCCTGTTGCACATTTGGAAAAAGACAAAATGGATCGAGCCAAAAAGAGTGTACGTCAAAGGTCTTGTGTGTTTGAAAATGGATAAGTAAAGCCAAATTAATGACAGTTTTATGTGTTGCATTTACTTACAATCTGTCAAGCTGCATCTCTCCCAGCTGGAGGAGGGCGGGGTGCTGCATGGAGACGCAACATCCTCTCCGTCTAGAGAAGAAATCATGGTCAGAAGAATCAGAATCTGGGTTGATTGCCCCAAAAAAATTACGCATACCAGGAATTTTTCATGGTGTTTTGT